GAGGAGCAGGAAAACATAAGAGGAACACAAGGACAGATAAGGAGGTGGGCTGGCTGCGGGAAGGGGATCGGCGCAAGGGGGACGAGGGAAGAGGACAGAGGGGGGGAGGAAGGAGGGAGAGGGACGGAGGGAGGAGGAGTACTCCAATCCCGCTTTGTCCTCCTCCTCCTCCTCCGCCTCCTCCTTAGGCAATGCTGGCGATGGCGCCCGACAGCGAATCATAGAGCACGCGTGCTGCCTCCTCCTCCTCCTCCTCCTCCTCCTTCCCTCCTCCTCCTCCTCCTCCCCCTCCCCTCCTCCTCCTCCTCCTCCTCCTCCTCCTCCTCCTCCTCCTCCTCCTCCTCCTCCTCCTCCTCCTCCTCCCCCCCCTATCCTCCACCCTCTTGGCACTGTGTGGGCCCAGGGCCGGCCGACAGGATGGCAGGCCCCTGCCGGTGCGGTTCGGCGGCACTGGCTGGGTGAAGGGCGCCCCGACGCACCCGTCGGAGGATCCGATGTGCGCGCTGCTGCCCTGGTCGCGGCGGTGCGGCTGGCGCGGCCCCGAGGACCTCCTCGGGAGGAGGAGGAGGAGGAGGATACACAAAAAGGGGGCTGGAGGAAGTGGAGGAAGAGGTGGGGGAAGTGGAGGAGGAGAAGGAGGAGGAGGAGGAGAGGATGGTCGGGTCGGACGAATGGGATGGGGACAAAAGGTTGGGGTTCGAGATGGTTAGAGGTCTTCTCGCATTTTCGTAGGCTCTCGGCGTTTTTTTCGCTTCGCGGTGCCCTCCTGCAGCAACGCCTCGCCGAGGGCGTTTTTTCGGTGGTGTGCCAATCGTTCCGAAGAGCCGCCAGAGACCCGAGTTACGATCCGAAGTCAAACGACGACGATCACTCATGTCGAGCAGGTATCGGCGTGTCATCCCCGCCGCCCAGGCACTTTCCCCTTGGTGTGTGTCCGCATCCGGCGCCAAGAAGGCCAGCTTCATGGTCTCTGATTTGGTAACTCCCCCTTTGCTATTCCCCCCCTTTCCGTTCTCCTTGTGATGGGGAGAACGGGGGTCCGGAGCATGAGGAGGAGGGGGAGACAGTTTCTGGACGCTCTTGGTCCTCCTCTGGGCCTCAGGAGGCTCCCAGAGGCTTCTGGAGGCCTCGGGAGAACTGTGGTGATCTCTTGAGACCTCGGGCGACCTCGGGAGATATCCACATGCTCCATGCTTTTTCCTCACACATAATTTCTCCCTGTCGCACCCCGAGGCAACTTTTCAGGGCGCGCCGGGCGTTCCGTTTGATACTCCTCATCATTTATGACCCTGAAGCTAAAACGCTTAGCAGCATTTTCACAGATGGAGGGCGGGGCGTTTTCAAAATGTGGCTCTCGCCTTAGCGCCGCGCATCTTCGTTTTCTTTGTTTTTTGTGCAAGAGTTTTACTTGTTGAGTGCGGGTCGTTTTCAAAATGTGGCTCTCGCCTTAGCGCCGCGCACATCAGTATTAAAATATTGCAGGAGTTTCACTGATTGAGAGCGCCCCGTTTTCAAAATGTGGCTCTCGCTTGAGCGCCGCGCACATCAGTATTCAAACATTTGCAAGAGTTTCACAGGTTGTGGGCGACCCGTTTTCAAAATGTGGCTCTCGCCTTAGCGCCGCGCACATTCATTTTAAACATCTGCAAGAGTTTCACTAATTGAGGACGGCCCGTTTTCAAAATGTGGCTTTCGCTTCAGCGCCGCGCACATTCGTTTTAAACATTCGCAAGAGTTCCACGGATTCCCATGATCAGCGTATCAGCAATGGCGTTTTGGAAGGGTTCACGGTTATGAGGGTGCAACAGTTACGTTGATGCGCGGCGTTGAAGCCCCAGGAATGGCAGTCTGGCACGATTCCGGATCAAGACGCAACAATCAGGTTGATCCGTGGCGTTGGAATCCCGAGAACAATGTCTTGGCATGCTTCAGGGTCTTCAAACGGTTGTCTTCCAGGGAGGCAGTTCCCTCTGTGGAAATGAACCGTTGTAGGGGGCTATGTAGAAGGATCTTGGAGTGAGGGTTTATCCCAACATCGTTGGTGACTGTTGGGTTTACACTGCTCCTCCTCCTCCTCCTTCCCCTCCGCCTTCTCCTCCTCTTCCTCCTTGCTCGGAGCTGCGGATCGGAACCCCTCCTCTTCTTCTTTGTCCTCCTCTATTCCTTCTCCTGACAGAGAATTCTTCCTTGTCGTACCACCAGACGTGTCCGTAAGCCGGGCTAGGCGCTTCGCGCAATCGCCGCCGCAGGGGTTTTGCGAGGGAGGCAATGTCAATTGCGCCACATATATTCCCCCTTTTCGCATTGCAATCTGCATCGGATTCTGCCCCCTCGTCTATCCTAAATAGGAATTCGCGCGATCCCAGGGGGACCAGTACCCGCCCCCCCCCCGCCATCCCTTGCAGCAACTACTATGCGCGCACTGGTTTATCAAAATCATAAATTTCCAAGGCGCCCTTGCAAAAACAAACTGGACGAAGTGCACACGCGCGCGTTGTCGCGAGGGCGTTCAGAAATCCTTTAAAAACTCACGTTTTCGCAAGGATTTCAACATTGAGTGTCCGAACCACATATAAAGCACACGTAGTTTCGCAATGCGGATTTCCAAAAAACACTTGGCGCGTGCGCTCTTGCGAATTCTTAAGACTACCATTATTGTCACCATTTTCAGGATGCTACTAAACAGGTTTCACGCGCTCATGTCGAAATCGTTCGAGCGCCCTTGCGCGCGTGCCGTCCTCAGAATCCTTTGCAAAAGCGGGACGAAGTGTTCGCGCGCGCGTCGTCGCGCGCGCATGCCGAAATCCGCACATGCTTTCGCAACATCAGTTCTCAAAAAAGTGGGCGTTCGCGCTCCTGCGAATTCTTCGGGGAACCATTGGTTTCTCAACATTTTCACAGAATTCTGCCACACGGGCCTCTGCCGCCGCATGCCGAAATCACTCGCACGCCCTTGCGCGCGTGCTCGTAGGCACGATCCGTGTCAAATAAAACTGTGCGGGCCACACTCGCGCGTCGGCCGCGCGCGCATGTCAAATTCCTTTTTTGCCAAAACCTTCATCCCCGACGCGAGGACGCCGTCATCGTCGCCGGCGTGATCAGCATCGGCGCCCGCACTGGCCGCGCTTCGTCGTTGTCAACGTCGCCACCAGCATCACTACTATCATCATCGTGTCTACCGTTGTCGGCGTTGCCATGATACCGCATTCGCCACAGTCGCCGACTCGCACTGCAGTGCCCGCTGGGATGTGCCCAGTGGTCAGCGCCACCGCGGCCGCGTCGGTTGCGCCACACTAGCTGGCCGCTGCGCGCGCGTGCTTGGGTTGGCGCGGCCGCAGAGATGCACCAGCCAATGCCATGCAGTCATCGCAATCTCCACGGCGTGGGTTTTGCAAACCAAGTTGCGGGTGGGTGGGTGGGATGTTTGCACGAGCGTGGAATGCGTCAGGTCGTCAGTAAAAACCAATTCTCCTTTATAAGAAAAGGTTCTACCACCCTCCCCCCCCCCCGGACTGATCAATTCATTGGGAAGCGATGCAAAACTCATGTGATTCTGAACCAATGTACGTCCTACTTGTGAATTCATGCTATCCCTGCCAGGCCGGTATGACCCTCCCTCGGATCCCTCGCAACAGAATATTATGCACGCGCATTCGTTTACCAAAATTCATAAGTTTCCAAGAACCCCTTGCAACAAATCGAACGAAGTGCACGCGCGCGTCGTCGCGCGCGCATGCCGAAATCCTTCAACAATTTTTCGGTTTTTGGTGGATCTCAAAATCGAGTGTCCAAAAACATGAAAAACACAAGGTTTCACAACACGGACCTTCCAACAAAAAACATGCACGCGCGCTCTTGCAAATTCTGAAGAAAACCATAGGTTTTTCAATATCTTCGGGGCATGCTACCAAACGGGCTTCGCGCGCACACGTCGAACTCATTTGAACGCCCTTGCGCGCGTGCCGTCGCGAGAACTCTCTGCAACAAATGAAACGAAGTGCTTGCGCGCGCGTCGTCGGGCGCGCATGCCGGAATCCTGAAACAAATCTTCGGTGTTGGAAGGATTTCAGAATCGATTGCCCAAACACATAAGACCACACGGTTTCGCAACATGGGTTTTCAAGAAAAGCGTGCGCGCGCGCTCTTGCGAAGTCTTCAGAAAACCACGCGTTTTTCAATACTTTCATAAAGTGCTACCAAACGGGCTTCGCGTGCGCATTTCGAAATCGTTCGAACGCCCTTGCGCGCGTGCTGGGGTGGCACGATCCGTGTCAAATCATACCATGCGAGCCACTCTCGCGCGTCGGCCGCGCGCGCATTTCGAATTTCTCCCAAAACCGTCATCACCGACGCGAAGACGCCGTCATCGTCGTCGGCGTGAACAGCATCGGCGCCGTCACTGGCTGCCCCGTCGACGCTGTCAGCATCGTCTCCGGCATCGCTACTGTCATTATCGTGTCTACCGTTGTTGACGTTGCCATGACACCGCGCCCGCCCAAGTCGCCGACTCGCTTTGAAGTGCCCGCTGGGATGTGCCGAGCGGTCAGCGCCACCGCGTTCGTGCCGGTCACGCCAAACTACCTGGCCGCTGAGCGCGCGCGCATGCGCAGGCTGGCGCGGCCGCAGAGATGCACCAGCCAGCGCCGAACACTCATCGCAATCGCCGCCGTATGAGGTTTGCAAACCAAGTTGCCGGTGGGTGGGTGGGTGGGATGGTTGCGCGAGCAGTGGGTTGGACAACAATAAGAATAAATTCGACCCCCCCCCGGAATTATCGATCCCCTTTCGTATTGCAATTTACATGCGATTCTGCCCCATCGTCCTTCCCACCTGTGAATTTGTACTATCACAGCCAGGCCGGTATCGACCCCCCCCGCCATCCTGTGGAACAGGTACAATGCAAGCGCACTCGTTTATCACAAATCACAAGTTTTCCAATAATCCCTTGCAGAACATGTGACGAAGTGCACACGCGCGCGTCGTCGTGCGTGCATGCCGACATCCTTCAAAAACCTTCGGTTTCGGAGGAGTTTCAAAATCGAGTTTCCCAACACCATGCAAAAACACATGGTTTCGCAACACGGATTTTCGAAAGAAGCTTACACGCGCGCTCAAGCAATCAAGCAGTATTGCCAAACGGGCTTCGCGAGCGCGCATGTCCAAATCGTTCGATCGCCCTTGCGCGCGTGCCGTCGCAAGAATTTCTTGCAAAAAACTGGACGAAATGCACGCGCGCGCGTCGTCGCGCGCGCATGCCGAAAGCCTTCAAAACACCATCGGTTTCGGAAGGATTTCAGAATAGAGTGCCCAAGCAACATACAAAAACACATGGTTTCGCAACACGGGTTTTCAACAAAAGCGTGCCCGCGCGCTCGTGCATCGTCGTCGTCGTCGCCGTCCTCCGTCCTCCGTCGTCGTCGACGTCGTCGTCGCCGTCGTCGTCCTCTGTCTTTCCTCGTCGTCGTCGTCGTCCTCTTTGGCGTCGTCGTCGTTTCCGTCGCCGTTGTCGCCGTGGTCGTCCTTCCTCCTCCCTCGTC